TCGAAGCCCAGCACCCACATGGCAGCTAACAACTGTCCATAATTCCAGTTCCAGGGATCCGACCACCTCTTCTGTCCTCCATGGGCATTGCACAACACAGGTGCACTTACCTACATGCAGGCAATACACGCATACACATAAAATCAAAATAACAAAATTTTTTTTTAAAAGTTAAAAAAAATATAACTGATTAATCTAAGAGAGTAGACTACTTTGTTAGAACTATTGATTTTTTTTTCGGGGGGATGGGGAATAAAGGAATTTGTTCTTGCAAACAGAGCACAGGTTGGCGATGGGAGGTACTTACAAAGGTAAGGGTGGGCACCCTTGAGCTTTTTCCCTACATCGTGGCCAGGACTCCCTGATGCCTCGGCAGTGGTCCAAGATGGTGAAGACCACCCCTCACTTCGGTTTCCCCTGTTCCTATCCTTAGTCCCTCCCCTTTCTGCAGCTACGAACCATGGATTTTGTTTGCAATTTCACATGCACCCATTTGGTCTCTAAAAACATTCCAACCCATAAATCTCAGATCCTTGTTTATTAAGCTCATCACTGTATTTTTGTTGTCCTTTGTTTATGACCATAAAAGGGATAAAATATGCTACTCTGGCATATTGACAATTTAAGCAAATAGTGGGTGCGACATCATATTGATCTTTATGCTATTCTTAACAGCAACACATTAAAATTCCCTTGTAAAAGACACTTTGTATGATAGGAGAGGAAAGAGCCTTATCTTTGAGGACAAGAAGTTGAGACCAAAATAATACTGTACAACCCTGTTAGGATGTCTCTGATCTTTGAGGTATCTGTTGCAACTTAATCACACTTTGTAGTTTACTATTCTTTTTTCACTCCAGAATATAAGCACCTGCCCAGATTGCTTCCTTTGATTTTCATTTCTTTATGGGGGCATCTATGCCACACAGAACATAAACTTTCCTTTACTGCTGTTAATCTGTTTTACGTCAGTCAATCTGTTTACATCAGTTAATCTGTTTTACATCAGTTTAATCTGTTTTACATCAGTTTTACATCTGCTGAGGGCTTAAGAGGATAGAAGTAGAGGTTTGATGTCTCTACAGCTGTGTCTTCTATCTTTCAGTCTCTGTTTTGTTAAACCAATTTTCAAATAGGATTCAAACAAATGGGCTCTACTGAGGTGTTTTTATACATTGTTCTCATTTGTCTCTTTCCTGTCCTCCCATTCCTGCTTAAGGTTCCATTCTTGCCTCCCCACAACCTCCCATTGTTACATGCCAAAAATGCTTGCTTTTTCTTACCCGTCCTTTACTCCTTCCTTTGGATTTTGACTATCATATTATTTTCTCCCTTTATATCTCCTCTGTATCCACAGCATCATTCATCATATGTGGATGCCAAATGTCTTCCTGTATCTTGTATTTTTCTCATGATCTCCTGACATCCTGAACATTTCCATCAAGGTGCTGCAGGTACCACAACACAGCATCTAAAATGAAGTCATGCTCCTCCCGCCTCTATTTTCACAGTTCTCACCATGGCAATGAGTCATCCTGATGCCCAAATAGGAAACTGGAAAGTGTGTTCTGGATTCATTCTTTTCTTTGTCATCTAATGGTATCTTAAATCTATTCATAATCTTTACCACTCACAATGATCCAATCAATCCCTGGGTACTTGAGCTGTAATGCCTCCTAGCCAGTCTCCCTCCCTCCAACCCACTCTATACCCTGATCCAACACCATCATGAAGCCCTGCACAATGAACAAAGAATCTTCCAGATTTGGTCTTTGCTTATTCCCCCAGAATTTATTCTACTTTTCTCACCATAATTTTTTGCTCGAGGAATTAAAAAAAATTCTGCTTCACTCAAAGCAATGTATTACATTTGCCTGGTAAAGTTTTTACTTGAAGAGGCATCCCTACTTTATCTGTCTAGTGGCTATTTGTCTTTCCAAGTCTGGCTCTGCGGTCACCTTTCTTGTTAAAACTTATAGACTGTAGCACCACAGTTAGAAAGTTCCTCACGATGTGGAGATTTCACTGCTGTAGTTAGAATGTTGTAACTAGCATCAGTGTCCTGTCCTTCTGACTCCTGCTTTCTACTGTCTCTTCTTCATACTTTGTAACACAGTGTGTTTGTCCCTGTTCTAGAGCTCATCGTAAAGTATTCCACACTTCATTACTAGTCTTCCTCATCAATATATAATGCATCTATACCCTGAGACAGCTGTATTCACTTGCATCACTGATGCCCAATGCAATATATGGTACCACTTAGGGTTCTAGTGAATGTCTGTGAGTAAACAACTGATTGAGAGCTTATATGATGTCATTCTAAGTCAACAGCAGAGCCAAGCAATGCACTATGATGTCTTCAAATATTTGGTGAACTGTGCTGATAAAAGTTTTTATTCTGTAACTTTTGTTATAGCATTTTGTGCCTCATCCATTTCTCATGTGGATTTTTCCCCTTTGGGAAGGAAAACCCACATAACCAGCTACTTACAGTCCAAGTTTCCAATGATTGCCTGAAATAATAAGGACACAGTACTCTCCTAAGCTTCTCTCTAAATGGCATTCTTGTTTGATGCCAAACATTATATGACTATATTGAACATAATGTTATTTCTGTCAGTCAAATTGCATTAGAGCCCTGATGGGAACAGGAGTGAGTGATTTGGCAGGGTTTCTCCTACATCACATCCATTTGCTTACTTTACCAATAAGAAAATATTACAAGACCTGACAAGTTTCTGTTTTTCAATCACAGAAAGAAAATACCAGGAAATAACAGGAGGTAGAAAAATGTTCAAACCAGGAAACAGTTTCACTGATATAAGAGTAAAACCTGCAAATATCCAGAGGCTGCTTCCCCGTTTTCCTTCAGTTTACTTTCCCGATAATCGTATCTCCAGATCCCTGACCAGTTAGGACTGAAAACGCCTTACGTGTCTTCCCTCGATTCCATCTTTCTGTTATATCCTCAAATGACTTCATAGTTTAAAATGTGTCATTATTCCTGTTTTATAGAAGTTACAAAATATAATGAAATAATAAAGAACCAATTAAACAAATAAATAACATACTTTGTAGCTTCATCATGATTAGGAAACCACATTTAAATATGTACATATAATGTAACATCTTTCCCCTTCTCTAGCTGATGAAAACTAATTATAGCAAAATGGAAAATACTGAATGCAGGGTCTGGAGTTTCCACACATTTGCCCAAATTGCCCCAATCTGGTACATTAAGGATTATCGGCTTCATTACGTGGATGGTGAAATGGTACTGGCAGTACACAAATACCTTCCTGTGCAAGACTGCACAGTAGCCAGTCTGTGTCCTTAGTATTTACCACACCAGGAACTCTTAATGCCATGACATCTAATCATGTATTTGTCCAGTCTCAAACCCTAAGCCCTAATACATGTAAATATGATATAAGCTGGGTGTGGTGGTGCATGCCTTTTGTCCTAGTACTTGGGAGGCAGAGGCAGGTAGATCTCTGTGAGTTCAAGGCCAGCCTGGTCCCTGGTCTACATAGTGAGTTCCAGGTCAGCTGAGGCTACAGGGAAATCCTGTATCAAGAAGACATATAATATATATATATATATACACACACATATATATATATATAATGTGTATTCATTATAATCAATTGTTTGTCTATAGCCCTTGACTTGAGTAATCTTTCTGAATTGCTAAGGTAGAAATAAACTATAATTGCACTACTTCAAAACATTTCCACACACGTGTGAAAAAATAACAAGCAAAGCAGGACACCCTTCATTAGATTGAACCTGAGTTAAACTGACCAGAATGTAAAAGAGGCTTAGCAGAAGTTGGTGTGGCCACTGATGGGGTGCTTCTGGGAATGGAAAGTAAGAGCTACGTGATTTGTTTAGCATCACAAGGCAGGAAAAATACTATTATTGATGATGTGGTCACCAGGAAGACCCTAGAGAACTTTGCTTCATCTGCCAAAGCTCTGTCATTTCCAAACAAAATTTCTTCCCTGGAACACTGGGAGAGTGAAAACGACTCACAGCAGCCAGATTCGTCTTCATTAAAGTGGCAATCGGTCACTCCGTCACATAGCAGGAGGGATGGGATGCACTCAGTAGCAGAACACTGGAACTCCATGTTACTGCACAGCTGAGGAGAGGGTCTGAGAGGGCAGGACATTTCATCAGATCCGTCTATGCAGTCTTCCTGTCCATCACACTTCCCTGAGGCTGGGACACACTGGAGCGTGTAGATACAAGGAAACTGATTATCTTCACAGAGTAACGGTGGTGGTATAAAAGGACCTGATAAAGAGAACAGGACAGATGATATTGACATCAGGGTGTTTTCTCTGTGACCAGTATTGAATCATCCTGGCATATATTTGTGTTGGATAAATATAAAACCGTCCAATAATTTAAATAAATTAATCTCTAATTATGAAATGTTAGCTACATGAAACTTAAATGTGAACAGAGCATATGCCTTATCTAAACTCAGAAGCTACATTCTTTAAAAGGGCATTGCTGGGGGTGAGGCTACATGACTCAGAGGATAAGAGTGTTTGTTGCCAGGCATGATGACCTGAATTCAATCCCCAGAACCAACAAATTAGAGGAGAGAACCAACTCCATCAAATTATTCTCTGATCTCCACATTTTCTCTGTTCATGTGGTTGCGTGCACACACACACACACACACACACACAATAAATAAACGTAACAACATTTTTAAGAGGTCGTTGCTGATACAAAAACTGCATTTCTCTACTCTCATCAGGAAGCTTCCTCATGCAACAGAGAACAACGAACACAAAAAGTCACAAATGACCAAAGTGTAGAGAATAAGAATCTTCAGAGTGTGGGTCCCTGGACAGGACTCCTATGTTAAACTTCACCCACCCAGGGCTCAGGGACCATTGTGGAAGAGGGGGCAGAAAAAGTTTAAGAGTCAAAGGAGAATGTGCTTGACCATATGGAGAGTTTACAGGCTCTTTGTGCCTTACTCATATAAACCTACAGCAATAGTGTCAGTATATACAAGACCCACGGAAATTCAAGCAGACAAAAACCAGCAGAGAACTGTGGTAATGGTCAGGAGACCACAACCTTAGGCAAAGACTATTGGCAGCTGATTACTGCTGGATGATGGAGAGTTGATTGCTATGAGACAGTTCTAAAATCTTGTGTTGTCTCTGTGCCCATTGCTGAGGAGCTCATGAGCTATATTATGGGGAACAACAGAGCCAGGAGGCAGTTGAGACTATTTCAGGCAGTTTATTTACTTTACATTTTAAAGCTATGCCTATGTAGATGTGGGTAAAATAGTACTTTATATATAATGATGGCATAGTGAACTTATTTTTAATTGAAATGTGAAAGTTCCTTTTTGTGTCTACTCACCCAGTGATGGAGATATATCTAGAATGTCCTAAGACTCTGAGATCAAAACCACTCATCTGAGATCTGTGTGACTGTCCTTCAGGATCTGTGCTCATTTAAAACAGTGTATTTAGGTAGAGGAGGCGTAAGCTCATAAGATGTTAATACCATGCTGTGGTTTCCCTGCATGAGAAGTATCAGCACAAGCAGCTGCAGAGTTTCAGTTTACAAATTTGAAAATCAGACTTAGGAGGAAATTTATTTTACATTTTAATATCTTTTTTGATTAAAAAATAATTTGGATATTATTTTTAATTTATATATGTGTGTGTGTGCGTGTGTGTGTGTGTGTGTGTGTGCATCTCTGTGTTGTTTTGTATACCAGAGTACGTGTTGCTTTGTACACCTGCAGAGTTCAGAAGAAGGCACTAGCTCTCCTGTAGCTGCAGTTCTAGGTGGTTTTGAGACGCCATACATGAGTATGGGAACCTAGCTCAGGTTCTCTGCAAAACACCATCTGCTCTTAACCACTGAGTCATCTCTCTAGTCCCCTAATACCTTTGTGTATAGCTCTTTTCATATACAACCATAGTTGAATAGTTTCTGTTTATTCTTTGTGTTAGATTAATTGCACATTGAAGGAAGGGAAAATGTTACTAATTTCATTTTTCATAGAAATGTCTTATGGATTAAAATGTCATCATTTTAGGGCTGGGGAGATGGCTCAGGGGTTAAGAGCACTGGCTGCTCTTGCAGGGATCTGGGTTTGATTCTCAGCACCCACATAGCAGCTAACAACTGCCCATAACTCCAGTTCCAGGGAAATCCAACACCATCATCTGACTTCCAAGGGTACTGAATGTCCCAAGTGCCTTCACACACATGCAGGCAGTAAGCTCAACACAAAAAATAAAAGTTTTAAAATGTCATGTTTATTAGATCATCAAACATTGAAACTGTTTAGCTAACATTTTGCATATAAGAAAATATACAGAACAAATTTAGAAATATATCAAATACTTATCTATGGTAAGTTAGAAACCTTTTGGAAAAAAAAATGAGAGAAGTAATTTTGCTTCTTCTAAACCAAACAGTACATGATCCCAGCTCACCAGCCCCTGTGCACAGTCAGCCTGGTTTCCTTCACTGCTCTGTGGGGAGAATTTCTTGAGAGAATTTCAAATGAACCTTCAAAGCAGGGACCTGCCTTGGAGTTGGCTCTCCAGAGACCCTGATCTAAAGCCTATCCAACCATTGACATGCATCTTGGTTAAAAGTAAATCTCCTCTGAATTGCCTCTCAACTTTTCCACTGAAGTAGTTTTGATACTGTAAGAACATGAATTTTCACTCCTCATGAGAGTCTAGCTAGGATCTAAGCTAGAAGCACTTCCACATTAGTTTAATAATTCCTTCAAGTCTTTGTCTTATTCGAATGTAAGTTCTGTATTTTACTATAAAATATTTTAATATAAATACTTCTTTTAGTGTTCAAATAAAATTTAAACTCTTGGAAGAAAAAGGCTGTTTATCTTTGACTCAAATAAGAGGATGTGATCTTCTGCCTACAAACTATAAGAAATTTTAACAACCAGGAAAATTTTTCTAAAATTGCAATTTCAATGAATTTATACTTGGATGTGACTTATGAACCTATTTAATTATTAAAGTTAAAAAATTTCAATTAATAGGAACAATAGTAACTTTTCCTTTTTTATACATGGAGAAGTCTCAGCATGAACTTAACTTACTACTATAGTGAAAGAAGACAACCTGAAAGGCTTGTACTGTGGAAGTTCAACCAGAATGGCATTCTAGAAAGGCAAGACTGTGAGCCAGCAAGCAGGTCAGAGACTTCTGAGTGTTGGGAACGCTAAAGGTTGCAGACTGAGAGGGCAGGGAAAGTAGAACACAGGGCATTTTACAGCAGTGAGAGCATTCCGTATTATTTCTAACACGCTTTTTGACATTCATCAAAATCCTCTGAATTTGCAACACCAAGAGAGAACTCTAATATACAGTATGAAGCCTGAGTGGTAATGAGGTGTCAGCACGGTCATCACATTGACAGCAAAAGCACCATTCCAGCAGTGCCCACTCTCACACCTTACTATGTTCAGGAAGTTGTTTCGTCAGGTTAAAGTCATGCCATTATTTTATTTGCAGTGAAAGTTTAAACCTTCAGAGAAACACTGTCAGCTCAAATATAACTATAGTTAGCTTCCCTGAAAATGCACAAGTGAGTTGTTTCATGAGAGAGTGCAACATAGTCATACAATGAAAAAACTGGAATTCACATCAGGGAGACAGTGGATTCCGTGCTAACAGTGCTGTAAAATAGAGGTTGAAAAAATAATAAAGGGCTACTCGGAAATGTTAAGAACTGTATTTGTGTATGCATGTGTATATGTGTGTACATGTGTGTGTGCATGTGTGTATATGTGTGTACATCTGTGTGTTTGTATATGTGCATGCATGTGCATGTGTGTTTGTGTGTATGTATGTGTGTACATGTGTGTGCGCATGTGTGTATATGTGTACATCTGTGTGTTTGTGTGTATGTGTGCATGTATGTGCATATGTGTGTGTATGAGAGACAGAATATGTACACAGAATTTTGTTTCAAAAAACAAAAAATAATTTAATTTCAAATATTACCACACTCATGAAGTAGTTGCTAAAGATGCTTATGTAAATCATTTATAAATTGGATATTACCTTGGGAGTTATTACATCAAATAAATCTATATTAAAAGAGAGACACTTGATAAGTGTCTCTCTTTGACAATATCTTTGACAAGATGTTTCATGCATTATTAATCTTAAAGGCATTCTCTTTGTTTTTTAGTCAACATTTCTCAAATTATGATACTCTAAAGGTATCATATAGTCCCAATTCTAAGGCAAGAAAAATAATTACTCTTCTAAAAACATAGCTTAAACACTTTACTGTGATGTTTCTCAAAATGAGGATCACAAGTTTCAAGTGAGTTCCAATCCAGAAAAATAATAATCATCTTTAGGCTGCAACTGACTTATTCCTTACACAGTAGACCTGATTCAGGGCTGTATCCAATAAAGTTATCCCCCTGCCCCCAATTTGTCCCTTAGCAAATAAGCTTTTTTTCAGTGGAGAACAAAGGTATAAATTCATAAGTATTATCTGTAAATTGTACACAAGATATTCTCTTCTCTCTACTGTTCAGGTATGTCATGCAGGTGAATATCACCCATCATGTGATTCTTTAGGAGATAGGTTCAAAATGCTGCTGTAGACATTAGGGTACCAGTGTGTGACTTAGGTGTGAAGAAAGGAATGCTGATGCGAAAGAAAATCTCATAATCCAAGCAATATAGTACCATCAAGAAATGGCAATTGCATTCCCACAATAGCATCTTTACAAGGTCTTTATCTAATCAGAGCTTTGATTTTACATAGAATTTAGAAATTCCAACTTGGAGAGAATCAAATTTTTTCTTTCCTTGAATTCAGCGACATCTTGGTACCCAGACAGAGTTGCTGGCATGTGTTCACTAAATATATCTTACATTGATTAATAATAAATTAATGCCTTAAATATTAATTATGCTTTCCTTTATAACTAACATGGGGTTGGAAAACTGGGTAAATTACAAAATCCATTGGCTAATTGACTGTTTCCATTGACTTAATAAACCACAGTAATAAATAGCAGAGCAGTAAGACACAAATCAGAACTCTTTTTAACACAATAACTTCACACCCATATTTACATATAAAAGTATGCTTTATTAGCTAAAGTGATCATATCATATGGATGGTGGGGATTTGATCCACTGCTTTAGAACAATAAGAATTTTTTCCATAAAAGATTAGACAAACAATATCATATACATTTTTGACATACCATTTTTCTTACCTAAAAGGTCCTAGAAGGGAGGAAA